CTGTCCCGTATTGGTGGATTCCATATGAGCGGCAAAGTTGGGCGGATAATATTATTCCAAGTGTAAATAACTCACAGTGTGAGGCGCGACATTCGTAGCTCAAGTAGGTGTAGCGTTGGTTTGCGTAAAAGGCCTCCATCCTATGGGGTTTCGAATCCCACCGAACGCCGCGAGTTTTTTCACAATTGGGACAACTAAATTAACCAAATCTGCCAAACCAACTTAATAATGATGGAAATGATTGTGACGCAACGGACAAAAGACTATAAAATTGATATCCTGCCACTCTGCTCTGATTTTGCTATCTTAGCTATGTTAGAAGTAAACAAGTATACCGCAGGCTGCTTCAGTTTACATAGAAAAGTAAGCCCTTTCTTTTATAACAGATGACATATCCCCAATTTTTTACGGAAGTGAAAAAATTGGCCAAGATTTCCCATTCTGATTTCGACTTAATCTTCAAAATAAATACAGTAGACAGGTATATTCAGTCACGATATTAATTGTGGATGTTTATTTTTCTCGGCAGTGAGGTGATATGTTTGGATCATCCTGAAACCGTGACCCCAACGGACAGCTGCATAAGAAAGAATGTTTAAAACCTCGTTATTAAGATGAATTCTATTATGTAATACCTTATGTTGAAGGTTTAGGTAAGCAAAGGAGAATATGATCATTACTTATGGTCAATCTACTGAAGCCAGTGCAAACCGCATAATGTTCATTACCATTACCAGGAAGATCTGAACCTCTTCGTAGTCGAAATCCCAAAACAATTACAAAAAGTAGCGACGGAAGGAAATTTGTCATAGTTAACTAAGAATGGTACGTTTAAAATTGCACGTGACAATTCCATTACCATTTATTTGTCACTGGCCGGCATTTCCACGCCTGGGCCTACGAAATATCTTACTCATGAGACGTCCCATTCGGACAAAGCAAACGAAAATGTGGCTGCGGTAGTCCAAGTTAAATGTAGAATGCAAGAACGAATAAAAACTATAAGCAAATCTCCGAAAAACGTGTTCAAATACATACTTGTAATTTGGGTGGTTTGTTAACAGCTACGCATTATAGGGCACATAATAATGAAGCATAGGGATCCGAAAATTTTACAAAAGGATCTTTTGCAACATAATTCTTCTTGTGCTGCTTTATTCATTCGGTGTTTTTGCACGAAGAGTCTTCCTTTCCAATTAATACTTCATTTTAAACAATAAACGCGATTGCCAATTTTTTTCGGAATTTTCGGCTATGCTAAAGAAGCTTGCATTTCTATTAAACTGCATATTCCTTCACAAATCCGAATATGCCCTATTGTGCGAGAATGACCTTTTCTTTATTGCTGTAAGTCGTTGGATTTCATGAGTAAGACAACCTTCTGCAATATGAGTTTCTGTTTGCATTTTTGTTCTTTTAGCAAACGCTTGACCTACACTTTAAGTTCAGTCGAATGATGACAAGCATTTTATCTTATTTCGTCCCATGAACTTATGAGGCATTTAACACGCATTTTCAGAAGTAAGCATTAATTCGGTTATTCCTTACAAATAAAGTATTTTTTATTCGTCAAATTGTAACTTTTCCTTTTTTTCGGCAGAAAAGTGAATTATAAGACGTTTTGTATTTTATTCTTTAGGGATGGCTCAGACGGAGCACGTGCTTGCTTTTTTACAGAACAGAAGTTTTCTTGTGAGTTTGAAGAGTGGAAATGAGTTAGGAGAAGCCACTGCACCGCGACACTACTGTCTAATCCTGAGAGAAATCCAAACCTCCCTGTGTCCAAAAACGAATGTTTTTGTCTTAATTTGACTGGCTGCACGCAGATTTCGAGGTCTTTGCTACTCACCTAGAACTAAATTTAGGTTCTCTTTATCAATAATCTACCCCCTCCCCCATCGAAAGATATATATTTGCAAAAGTCAGAAGAGAGCGAAATAAGGCTAATCTCCAAGCATGATTTCCATCCTTCATATCTTGCTCTTCCTATCCTACTTATTTCATGGAATCGAAAACGGTACGTGAAGATTGCATTCCTTTGCCCTGAGCAAGAACCAAGATGATATAATTTTTTCAGAGTTTAATTCTTACTGCTGAAAATATTACGATGTCAAAAAACAATGATTTATATTCCTGCGAGTAGTCATACTTAATTACGGTGAACACCTTGGCTAAACGAATATTTTGCTTACATATACACCTCTGCCGGTAGATGGGTCTTCGTCTCTTGCCTCAGACACAACTTCTCAAGAGGGGTCTCTATCCACTATAGAAGGCGCCACGGATGTTTCGAGCGATGTTCCCAGCGACACGACACTGGACATAGGTAACATGAAAAACATAACATCTTCTTCCTTCCCCACAACATTCGTCCTATTCAGTCAGCACTTCGCATCTCATACTGCATTTGGTGCAGAACATGAATAATTCACAAGTTCAAACATGCGTGGTTTGCTTACGTCCAGAAACACCCAGCGCCATGACTTATATTCCTGATGGCACCATGGCATTAATTCGTTGACTACCTTCACTCCCCAAATAATTTGTTGATAAATATATACCTCTGCTAGTACACGTTTCCCCTTTCTTGCCTTAGAGACGACTCCCAAAGAAGAGCTTCCTTCCACGACTGGAGACGCCACGGATTTTTCGAACGATGTCCACAGCGACACTACACTGGACATAGGTAACAGAAGAAAGCCTTAGATATTTCCCTTTAACCCTCCACTCGTCCTATTTAGTAGGCACAAATACCTTAATAGAACACAAAGCTACCACATGTTGTTGGCGTTTACCCAAAAACTCTCGCACACACTGATTAATATATACATGCGGGAAAAAGTACTCATTCCTAATACGGCGAAATACGTGGCTCTACGAATAATTTGCTGATATATACCCCACTCATCGCAGATGAGTCAACCTCTCTCGTCTCAAAGACGAGTCCTGAAGAAGATCATCTATCCACTACCGAAGACGCCACGGACGATTCGAGCGATGTCCATAGCGACAATACACTGCACATAACTAATAGGAACAAACCTAACATATACCTTTGCTTCACCCCTAAACACACCCCATTACTTCACACTGCATATATCATAATTTATTTGCTGCAAGATATAACTAGTACAAAAGGCAAAAAACGTGCGTACAGGCAGATACGCGCGCAAACACATATAAATATCAATGCCGGACCTAGAATTCACATATATTTCCATTAATACCTTGGCTAAGAAGTAAATTGCTTCCATATTTCCCTCTGCCATTAGATGGGTCCTCGTCTCCTGCCTCAGAGACGACTCCTGAAGAAGAACATCTGTCCACTACAAAAGACGCCACAGATGTTCCGAGCGATGTCCACAGCGACACGACACTGGACATAGGTAATAGAAGAAAACATAACATCTTCTTCCTTCATTCCTACACTCATCCTATTCAGTCCACACTACGTAACTCATACTTCGTTTGGTACGGGACATTAATAGAAGAGAAGACCTACCATGCGTGGTTGGCATATACTCAAAACTCTCGCCCGCAATGATTAATATTCATGCCGAAACGAGTACTCATCCTTTATCCGATTAATACCTTGGCTAAGAAGTAAATCGCTTGCATACATCCCTCTGCCATTAGATGGGTCCTCGTCTCTTGCCTCAGAGACGACTCCTGAAGAAGAACGTCTGTCCACTACAGAAGACGCCACGGATGTTTCCAGCGAAGTTCACAGCGAATTGACCCTGGAAATAGGTAAACTGAAAGATCGTTACCTCTTCTTCCCTCATCTCTTCAATCGACCCATGCAAACCACACTACATATCTCATACTTTGTTTGCCACAAGACATAAATAATGCACAAGATCTACCATGTGTGGTGTGCGTATACCCAGAAACTCTCGCCCGCCGTTATTGATGTTCCTGTGTGTGCGCGTACTCACCGTAAATGCGTTGAGTATCTTGGCTCCACAACGAAATTGCTTACATTTTCTCCTCTGCTAGTAGATGTGTCCTCGTCTCTTGCCTCAGAGACGACTCGTGGGGATGACTATATATCCACTACAGAAGGTGTCACGATTGTTAATGAGGCTCCGCCCACACTGGAAGTTGTCTGTTTTGGTTTTCTCAAAATACATTTATATTTGCGCCAACTTTAAACTATGGTGTCTTCATGTCTCCATTTTATTCTTGCCTTTTTTCTACCTTTTGTCAAAGTTTGCTTCCTCTTGTTATTTTCCCTCTTCCGTGTTTTTCTGTACCTTTTTGTGCTCTGTTATTGCTTCGTGTTTTCTTCTTTTTGTCGACGTTATCGTTTTCAAGTTTTCTACTTTTTTCTTCTATGTTCTCATATTCCGTTTTAGCTACTCTGCACTTGCCATCTTCGGCCTATATTCAATTTCGTTGAGTGTTTTTCGAAGTAACTTCTTCCGTCTTCATTTCGCTTGCTCGTTCTCAGCACCACACTCTCTGCTATAATACATCCTTCAATACGCGTGCTTATTAACCTTTTCCTGGTGTCGACAACCTACGGCTCGCAAGCTAGGTGTGGCTCTTTTGATGACTGCGTCTGGCTCTCTCAGATAAAATTGGAATTAAGAACTTAATATTTTGCGATTTCTGTTCCTCAAATGACGAGCCGCCGCAGTATTATTAAAAAGTTTAATCTTAAACAATCTCTGGCGTTTCTGTCCTCCCCTAACTTTGAACTAGCAGTTGTATCAGTGTCCCTTTTCCGGCTAACCGAAAATCTCGCTAAATAGCAGACGCTCTACTAAAGCACGACAGCCCCAGACTGGACCTCAGCTTAGTCAAGGTCACGCTGGCAGACAAAGCTACTTTACGTACGTAGGCCAGTCTGCCTTGTCGCCTATATTCCCTTGTAGTTATGTCCCCAGACGGACGAATTTCTCACACAGAAGCAAACAGTCCATTCGCGAAAAATTGCGTTCTATACTAATAATTCGCTCCTCATATCTGACTGTTTTCCTTCATCAGACGGAATTCTCACAGTGTAAGGATTATAGTGGATCGCACATCCTTGAAAGCTACACAAGCTGGCGTTCTTTAGCATGGATCTTGAAAGCGATCGTTTACTGCATTTTAAAAACTGAAACAATATAAAAATGCATCCACAGTACGTGAGCCCACTTAAAACGTTGATCTCCATCAGCTATTTGGCTTCATATCCAGTCTCCTACAGTCGTTCAAAGCACGTTTTGGAGAATTTCGGGAGCACGCTCGTCTTTTTAAGTTCATCACCCATCCAACCGAATGTTCACTGAACACATCCGACCTAAGTCATATTGCTGGTATC